AAATTATATTTGATATCAAATTATTTCTTTTTTATCAATAATAATTGTGCAAATTATTGCGCGCGGATTATAAATATAAAAGTTACATTGACATATACCAATTAGAATTGAGATATGGCAATTAAACTGCGGTCTCAAATTTCATGAGTTACAGCAGATTGATTTGGCGCTTGTACTATTGCGTGAATATCTAACGATTGTCGTAACATGTATATGTCGCATTCACGCATTCTCATCATTCGAAGATACTTCAATACCTTTAAGCGAGAACAACCAATAATTTATGACATTCTATGTCATAGAAAATAAAAAATGATTGGTCTTTTTAGATTTTATATGTAAATTATCCTTTCTTTATATATAAATACTAATTCGAATATATAAAATAATATTGATTTTTATTAGTCTTGTAACAGTTTATTGAAACTGAAATTGATTAGGAAACTCGGAAATGTCAGTATCATCAATGTGACATCACTTGCTTTAAGTAAATTATTTACAACAAACACACGTGAATTATATACAACAATTTTGCTGAAATATCCGAAAATATTCTTTGAAATATATTAATGGGGCACATAATCAGGAAAAGGCTCCCACGAGCTTGTCAACCGGAAGCAGATTGCCGACATCTGTATTGGATTATTGATTTTATCACGTGGCTCGTTCTACACTGTTTCCTCAGTATCGTTCCCTGTATCGACATCCATAATGTCGGCCGTCTTCCATAATGTACAATATTGGTGATATCCATACTGACAACCGGAGCCGGGGATTATCGTTGCGTTACGAATAAACCTTGTCTTGTCAGCAATGAAGACTCAGCCTTTAATACCTATGACGCGATCGTTGGCGTATATTGATCCTGTATTTTGGATTAATCAAGTTGCGCTTGGCAGAGGAACTAATTGCGATCTTATGCTGTGACAGCTCATATGACAGCCCATAATTCTCATTCACATATGAAGGCGAAGCTTATAATTTCGGTGTTACATGCAGAAAGCTCTTAAAAGCTCTAGTTGAAATATCGCTTTATATCAACTATCAGATATTTTATGTTTTATAATTCTTGAATATTTTCAATATTTCTGTTTTGTATGTTAAATATATTTTGTAATAAAATGAAAAATCAACCCGCGCACCGCCTTAGAACTTGTTTTGCAATGTGCAGTGTAGCGCTATGTTATATTATATTACATATAGGATGGTTCAAACGGTAGATTCGAATCGTTATTAGGTAGCGATACAAGTTGCTCCATGTGTCACTGCCTTACTCATCGGAATTAACAAGCAATTACGAGGTCAAATTTCAAGTTCCAATTATTTCCTATATAAGAACATTGTTGTGGACTATCAAATATAGTTCTTGACTGTAAAATTTTATTTATCTCATTTGATAGATATATTAACTTATCAGCGTTAATGTTATAATTTCCTATTCAGCATTGCTGTATATTACATCTATATTGCTGTGGAAAATTATAATATTGATGTATGTTCACTGGGTTATCGATAGATTTAATTTTATGTCCAAAAGGAAATGTAAGGAAAGGAAATATATTATATTTTATATTAATTATTATAAATGTACAAGCGTATCGTAATGCTATGCATGCTAATGCTAGCAAATTAAATATTGCTGAGAACATTGTTTAGATTCACATTTATGAATTATTCATTTATTTTAATTGCAATATTTTAATTGCAATATCGAAATTATAACGTAGAAATTTTGTTGGAAAGCGTAAATAATCATGAACGCGATATGCGTAAAGAAATTTAATTTGGCAAACGACAAATTTACTAGCACCACGTAAGAGACATAAATCGGTGCGTAATTCTGGTAATGGCACAGGGTTGCATTCGTGCATGCGCACTATTGCAGCAATTGTATGTAGGATATCGTGTCGCGTTTGAGCGCGTAATTTCCTAATTGCAGACCTGAAATCGATCGATCTGACGATTTGAATCACACGCGGTTACGGGACATTTCAATATTATTACGATACATCATTCTCTTTTTTCCCGAAAGTGACTCACATTCAATTAAATTTCTTTTTACAATCAAGAGTAACAGAATCATAAAATGAGTATGTGTCGCTCAGAGTGATTTGATGATTTTTTTTTGTATTTTCAAAAGAGTTCTATTATGCTTTCTTATTTATTTTGTATTATATGAAAAATATTTTTTTTCTTTTTATACAATTTTTTAAGTTATAATATTTTAGCATTTATTTGAATATTTATTTGTATAAATGTTCTAGTAACATAAACTAATGATACTAATAATACGTATCAATAAATCGAAATACGAAAGCTGATATTAATTGTGTATATGCTGAGCAAATTGATGAGTAATCCAGGAGTATAATAATTCATGCCAGTTAAGCCTCGGAAATGGACGAAACACATTTTCATGATAATAATAATAATCTCATCAATTTGTTATATATTTAAATGTTTCGATGATACGCTTATTTACAAATTAATTTTACAGTAATTAGATGGAATTTTGATATTTGTATTGCAATTAATATCGTACTTTCGATAAAAAAAAATACGACCAAGACGTGTTCTAAACTATAATAATAATAATAATAATAATAATAATAATAATAATAATCACTATATAAATCACTATAATAATAATATCATAATTTTAACATTATTAAATTTATATTAAATTTATTTAGTTACTTTGAAATGATTGTTTAAATTCTTATGTATTCAATTGTATTTCATCTTGTATTTTCTTTGAATACAGATTCATATTTAAGCATATGGTCACAATTTGGTATCATAAAATATATTCTTCATTACAATAGAATCGTTTGTATTTATAGCAAAGTTTATCTTTTACATTTTTTTTATTTAGAAATTGTTATTATAATAATAATAATAAAAAGAAGATGCAGTAGTATACACACACACGCGCGCGCGCGCGCGCGCATATTTCTGGTATTTAAGGCTTTAATAAGGATTTAAGGATTTAATGCAACTGTGAGATTGGTCCGTTTTCCCGAACGAGTTGGATTAAATAAAACAAAGAACATCTGATGTCTTGTCGCTTAATTTTATTTTTACAAAATTATGCAAAAAAACCGATATTGCATTCCTGGCGGCAAAATGTACAAGAAGACAGCCGATGTATTTCCGTGTTGTCCTCTTATATAAATACTTGGCGCACGACGTCGCTAAGATACCTCAATGATTACGGGGGTGTTTCATCCTCGGGCATCCTGACGTCCAGCATCTCTTATAGATCGACGATTCCGGTGAGTTGATGGACGATAAAAACAGAAATTGCCAACGCCACCGATCGTCGATAGAACCCTTCTGCGTCTTCTCTGAGTGGTCGTGTTATTTACATGTGAAGAGTGGTGTTTTACGATTGCATGGAAATGCATTGCGGTTCGGAATGATGAGATTCTGAAGGACATACGTACAAATAAAGGCTACGGTTTAAAGATATATTTATAATAACTTGTAATATTTCCAAGACTACTCCACTACCTTGCGAATTTTCCTTATATAATTTAGCGTAACATCGCAAAAATTTTTAATGTAACTTGCGAAACACATTTTAATATAATATTAGGGTATACGATCAAGTTATTGGATCAAATTAAACAGCAGAGAGAAAGAGAGAGAGAGAGACTTTTTCTCGTTGCTAAATCTTTAACTTGTCATCCGCATTTTTGATACACATTAATATTCACGCGCAAACTGCGCGTCTCATATTTTCATGCGTTGAAAACATATGCGAGTAGCCCATATTCGCCATATCGCATACAATTAAAACCGCCGCGTTTGCAATGTGTCACCCCATGACAGCGGTTATCGTGGGGTACTCCGGGGGAATATAACACCGGTGCATTCTATGTAGTGGCGTCGAGGCAAAAAACGTCGTAAATTTTATCGCATATTTCTGAACGCTATTTCGCACGTCCCATTGAATTTTTCTCTTTTCGCGATGAGTTATTTTATTGTGGCTATTTTGTTCGGTTCTTCCGATAGATGTAGAAGTAAGCTTTTCCACGGAGCAGTCTTCGGCACTCAGTTGTAATTGTGTTCAATTTCTTATCGAGATTAATCGGCGGCCTTTTTTTAAAGCCTCGTAACGTTACGGGTCCTCGTTCCGGGAAATCGGTGTGCGTTTAAAGTTTAAAGTTTACTTTCGAGATATCATCGATCGTGCGAAGCGATGGCTTTGAAACTCGATACGTTTTGCAATGCAGGCTACTAATCAAGCACGGAGCTGGAAGCTCCCCGAGCTCTTTACATAAAAGCGCCATCGTCTTTAGCGCGAGTCTCGACTGCAAGCGGCAAGCTGCCTTCTTTCATTCTCCGCCCTTTTTTACGTTGCTCTGGTCTAGCGAGAACATAAATAACGCTTACGCTAAGAATATATTCGCGAGATATATTGCCACTTGTTGACTCGCGCGCACGCGTGAACGTATGGGTGGCACGTTATGTAATAACGATACGAAATACGCTTCCGTGTCCGTCTCTCTTTTGCCATCAAACAGCCCCCCTCGGGCAGAAACTTGTTTTTTGTTGCTGGACAAACTTGGGAGAAGGGATTTTTGCTCTACCTTGGAGCTAATTTTTATGTCCACGCGGCTTACACGGCGCGCGATGAAGAAAAATGTGCGACAAAAAGCGAGCAGCATCGCGGCACGATCGTTAATCACGATCCGTGAAATATATTTCCATGGAGAGCGAGTTACCTCTTCCCGCTCCCTTTCCTCTGTTGTTTGGCCCGCTTGAAATTGTATCTTGTACGACGTAAGTAGTACGAGGAATTGCAGTTTGTCTCGGATGAGTTGCCTGCACGTAGGTTGTTACGATAGGCGGGTCGGCGGCGAGGGCATCTGCATATACCGCGGGAACGGTGTTCCCCATCGCCCGGGGCTAAGCTACATCGACCAACGCAGTAGTCTAATCACGATGCTCCAATTACAGATCAACAAAGTATTAATTGGACGTTGCAGCACACATCGCGAACGTTGTGAGTGTATTTGTGTTTGCCGTATTGTGTGTATTTGCGTTCCGTCGTACCGACTTCTCGTCGTACCGACACTTGTAGTCTTGTAACGTGAAATAATAATCCTGCACGGATATCGGATCGGGTTTTCAAACGGGTTTTGAAACGCAAAAAAGTGTATATTACTTTTAAGCAAACTCCCCCCTTATCCCTTTCTTTTCAACATTTTTGATTCTCGAGATAATCGATCGAGATTATTGTAGTATTATTTCTGTGCAACGAGATACAGTGCTCAAACAAATCAAGACGTTACGAAATGGTAAAAAATAGATTTAAATCTTTCTGAATGTTGCGACTGTGTACACATATACTTTAATATCGTAGAAACTATTGGATTTTTTCATGTCTTTTATCAATTTTTCCACTTTACGTTATTCTCCTCTATATTAGTGGATTATTCATATTTTTATATAGGATTTTTGATCGTTTATCGTCTGTCAATATTGGTATTCCTTGCGTGATGGAAAGGTTAAACATTTACTTCATTTTGTGCGGCCATAGTGCCGTTGCTATGCAAAATTAAATCTCGTGAAATCTTTCTATGCTTAGAAATTTAATCAAAGAGAGGATAATAAGCTTAGAGAATTAAAATAGCATTTATTATTTTATAAAGTATATTTTGTTAAAGTAAAAGAAAATCAATTGAAACAATTAGCTTAAAAGTATTATTTGTAATTGTATAGTCTTTGCTGTGTTTGCTTAAAGAATTTTGAAATTAAATTCTTTGGAAATTGATTTTCGTAAAAGAAAAGAAAGAAACTTGCGTACCTTAGTACCTATCGTCATAGAAGTCGTTTACTTCGCTTCGACATAAGAAGATCGTTATGCAAACGCTTGCACCTTGGCAATTTCTGAAGTGGTAAACTTGCCTCGCCATATTGGCGTTGAAGTGCGCGCAGTTTCCTACGAAACACTCTTCATTGTCGCTATAAACTTAAATGTCGTGACGAAGTTCAGAGGTTCTACGTCTTTCAGAGTTTCTCAGAGGCTTTTCGGCACCTCGCATGCTTGACAACGTTGCGTATCAAGCATACGGTACAAGTTGCTGTGGAGATTGTAAGACAATTATGCGCTGCATTTTTCATTTATTAGTTTTGAAATAAAAGTGTTATAACTTTTTTGCTTTTCATTTTTCATTTTTTTTTCTATTTCCTTAATTATCATCAAATTAATTAAATAATTATCGGAAATGATTTAAAAGGCGTATATTATACGCTTTTAATTTTCATTGCGATATTTATTTCCTAGAATATCATTGCATCATTACGATTGATTATTTTTAAGACATATATATTTTCCGAAAGAAAATAGACTGGGACGTTAGTCAATTATTAGTTCAATTTTACGAAAATGATTATTTTTTTAAAGTTCACCAGGCAGTTTTATCGGTGTAATAAAATTTCTTTCTTTTCTTGCTCCCTTCGCTACGAGGCACTTTCGGCACAAAACCGACCTTCTTTACTTACTCAGCAAATGTCTTTCTTTTATGCTCACGACCTCCGATTAAATCTAAATTCAGCAAGGTCCATTTAAATTCGCATCGGCAGCACTTTTCCGTAGTCGCGCAACGACGTGTTTTGTTATATTCGTATGTTTCGAGTCGTCCGAGTATAGTGGCTTTATCGCCGACCTGTGGCGTGTGTGACGACGACGACCACGAATGAGGTTTCGGACCGATGCAATTTCCGCGGCCACGATCCGCAGAATAGTAACGAGTAAGAAAAACGAGCGAGGATAAGTGGAGAGAGATGACGGATGACACACCGCCACGCAAAGTCGCACTTGACAGTCGCGCAATAAGACAAGGATTGCTACAATATATACATCACCGTATATACATCACTGTATTAATTAGTTTTAATTAGTAAAACAAGCTTCAATGTTGCAAACGTCTTTCTTGCACTCTGCTGTTAATTTCTAAATAAGATTCTGTATGTAATAGAGTTTAATTAATCTTAATAATCTACACACACACACACATATATATGTATTAATAGTTACAAATTTTAAGATATTTTAATATTTGCAAGAGTTATGTGCGTTGATAAAGGATATCAAACAATTTAATACTTTAAAGGTATCGATCCAAAGAAGAGAGAGAGAGAAACTGTAGAGTTTTCTGTATGATGCAAGTTAGCGGATTCACAATCCTAGCGAATTTAGTCTACTTGATAGAGGTGTATGTAGAGTGTTTTGCTGCAATTACGAGCTTTGAAAAAGAGCGCTTCGAAAGCAGTCACTCATGACATTATACATAACTAGATATCGTACACATTTACAATTTACATTTGTTACTAGATCGTATACAGTAAACTCTAGTATAAATAAAACATATTGTATTGTAAAACCTGTTTTTTTTTGTTTTTTTTTCATTTTTGTTTTTTTTCCAAAGATCTATACAAAACTATGAAACAAAAAAAGTGTCGCGTGTTTTACAATATATAAAAATATATAACGTATCGAGATGTTAGATGAGTTACGAGACTTGAATATAATATTTTTGAAACATTATATTGAAAACTTGGTATCAAATTATTGATCTTTTAAAGCTAAATGATGACACTTTATCGAACGATATTTTTTTTTTAATTTGCTGTAATATCATGATAAGTATCGTATTAATAGTTTTTGTCTACCGTTGAGAGTTTGGATGTTGCCGTTGTTTTCCTATTAACGTGAAATCTAAATTTATTGTTAAATTCCTTCGGTCTAATCTGTATAGTGCACGCCAAGTTATCGCGATCGCCGTATCACACGCGGGGCGAACGAACGAGACTCGGACTTTATCTGCTCAATCCCGGCGCCGTCGTGCAACCGCCAGCCCTTCGTGAAGGGGTTAACCGAATCCATTAGATATTCCAGCCAATTACACGGCGGAGAGTAGCGGTTCTATCCGGGAAGGAAGGAAGGAAGGAAGGCGATCGTGAGGCGCGCGCGGTCGAGAGACGGGAGCCGACCGAGCCAACGTGGTGAGAAGCGAGGAAGCCGGTGCACCATGTTGCAACATTAGAGATACTCAAATCAGAGAGAGAGAGAGAGAGAGAGAGAGAGAGAGAGGAGCCTGGCCGCGCTTCTATTATTATAATTTATTTCAAAAAATTCGATACTTAGAATTACCATTAAAATCAAATTTGACATTGAAATAAAAATTGAAATTATAATCGAGATTAAGAAAGAGATTATCTTGAAACTCAAATTAAATTTAAAATTAAGATTGAAATTAGAACTGATTGGAACTGTAGTAAGTATAAGTTTCAACTTGTCGTTACCTCATTATCAAAATTTGATATTTGTTAAATTACTTATAAATAATTTCATATTACTAAAACTTTTACAAATTAAGAAATTCATCAAGATATATTTTACTTAAGTTTAATGATGGATTTTTGGTTGAATTTTTGGTTGGATTTCAACTCGAATTTCTTTATGTATCGCAATTCGCAACTATCATCGAGCACGGAAACTGCGATGGTTCCCCACTCCTAATCCTGGCTTATAGCGACAATCAGACCTGGCACTGACGAACAGTGCGACGAGACTGTAGTCCATCGACGTACTCTTGATATTCCGACTCCTCATCCGTCAGTTAGATCGTGAAAGATAGTTCGTCAGTTTGATTCATTGCCGAAAGCACATTCGATTCCGAAATATCCATTATTCCATATAATGCGTAAAGTGTTAATTAAAAAAAAGTTAATTCTTATTAAGTACATTATGTATCATAAAATTTATAATATGCATATATTAAGCTAGTGAAGTAATGAAAATGTACCATCAATGGACAATAGTATAAAAAAGCAAATGATGGTAACTTAATGATATCACGATTTTAATATAAACTAATAATAAAAATAGCGAAAAATATAAAACTTCTTGCTAGTCTAATTTGTAGTGTAATTTGAAATTTCTAAAATACTTATTTGTGTACATAAATCGATATAATTTTATAAAGTTAAAAGAAGAGATTTCTGAGTACCTCAATTCACTTAAGTTACTATTGTTATACATTATTTAGATGTTAGTGCATGTTGAATACCGTTCGTTTCAGAAGCACATATATGGTAAGATTTAATCGACAGCTGTGTAACACTCTAGCGAATTACAGTAACTGCGGACTGTATCTCTGCGTTAAAACACACGCACGTGGATATGGGCATCATGTGAAATTGCAGACAGTCCTACTCTTACCATAAACCAAATGTAACCATAAGCCGGATTAGAGATTCATAACCCGCCTTTATTCTCCCTAGAGCGCTGATTCTCCAAAGCGAAAGCGTTGACTAATCTGGCTCGAGAATATTTCATTCATGTGAATTCGTGAATTCGACATTGATCCAAGTTTCTTGCGCCTAATATTTTTTAATGAATATTTACAAAATAATATCTACATTTTCGGAAAGATTAATATGAAATTATTACACAGAGCCATACAAAGACGTAAATAACATTATCTAGTAATGTAAGAATTGAATCCTCTGTCTGGTTTTCGTAATGGCGACATCAGAAATAATTTCTCCTGTTGTGAAACGTACCAACTTTTCTAAAAGTGAAATATTTATGTGCTTTCACATTCGAATTGGGACGCGACAACGCTAACCGAAAACTATGTGAACTCTTGGGAAACTTTTCGTCTGATTTCGTGTAGTCACATTGTGAGAATTTCTGACATAATTCACAAAATTGCTATTTTTTTTGTATTTTTATGATTAATCGCACAAATTTCAGTTTCGAAATTTGGAAATATATATATATATATATTTTATAATCATAAGTAAATTATAAACTTTCACTATGTGAAAACTTGGAGCATATTTATTTTATATATAATATTAAATATGTAAAAGAGTAGACATTTCGTATACAAAACATGAATAGAATTCCTATCAATCATATCATAAAGAGAAAATGGTTGTATGATATGTCATATAAAACGAAGATCGATTAGTACGATTTCCACTGATACCCACTTTGAATAGTAATTGATACGATACCTGTTGATGGATCACATTGTCAATTGCTACTATTACATTTCTAGAAAAAAATAAAGTAGTTTATATTTTAAAAAGCAGTATATAATATTCGTATATATATATATATATATATATATATATATATATATATTATTTATTCTTCT